GTGCTGACCGGTTATTGAATAGATTTTTGAATGCTGTTGGTTTATTTAAAAATATGGATATTGTATCTTCTCAAAATTCAGTGTCTCCACCAGGCACTGCAGGTTTGTCACCAAAGTTCAGTGGGCTGAAGGGGGCCCAGCTTCCCCCTGGGGGGGTTAAAAGCTCAAATTTCAGCTGAATATCAGTGAAATCCCTTTGGATTCAGCTCCTTCTTAGAAGAAACATTGCTTAGGATTTTTCTCCCCCTGTTTTACATAGAAAAATCCGAAGATCTCAGATAGTTAAAGCGTTTATGTCAGTCCTAAAATAGGGTAGCCAGATGTCAGAAAACTCTGTGGCCCATAAAAAATTCCAAATTTGATGGAATGTGATGTGAAACCCTTCACAAAATATATTAAGCTCCCATTGTGACAGCAATGAGAATCACAAGTTCACATTTTTTAGTGAATTTAACAGCACATTTAAATTAAGAAATTACTCCAGAGTAGATCTAACTGGCAAATACATTACAGATCCTCATCTGTCCTGACAGACTCTTCACATTTAAGACACATAAAAGTGAGGCAGCATAAATAAAAAGGATTTGGCGTCCACAAATGTGTGTGTTGGGAATATGAATGTAGGGCAGGCACAAAACACCAGTAATGTAATTTTAATATGAATAATATATTGCAAGGAAGTTGATGATTCAATTATTTTTCTGCCTTCTCCTTGAGGATTACAGCTGATTTTTTTTTGTGGGTGTGTGTGCTGGAAGAGGCTTAGAATGCAGAGTTTAATGAAATCATGGGCTCGAAGATGCAACACGTGAAAGAGAAAGCAAAACATTTAAATACCTTGGTGTTAGGATGAAAAATCAAAATATGTGGCAGTTGATACAGCTAAGTGTGTTTGTCTGAGGACCAACAGAGCAGGATATCAGAATTTCATTGTTATTTTATGCTAAAAGGGAAACACTGGCAGAGCGTTCTGTGTTAGCAAAGCCAGAAGGGAATTTTGGGGCTGTGCTGATGGATTTGATGAGTGTGTGGACACTTTGCCAGTCAGGGTGTGGGGTGTGTCCATGCTGCTTTTGTTACCCTGCACAGAATCTCTTCTCTGTCTCATCTCAACCCAAAAATCCAGCAGCCACGAGGCCCTGCCTGGGGTCTTTGATCTCATCCAGAAGGCATCATTTGCAGTGCTCTGCATTATTTATCCCCACTGAAGTATTTTCAATTAAACCGACAGATTAAATGCTAACTTTGCCTGGCAGATAATGAAATTCTTGTTTCTTTCCCAAGGAAGCTGGACACAGGAATCTGCACTGCCTGAGAGTTTCCACATTTCCTAACAAGTGAGCACCGTGTGATACCACAGGTGGGAGGCAGGCTTGCTTCCTGGTGCTGACAGTGATAGTAAAAGGGTTTTAAAATCATGGGGATTTAGGGTTAAAAGGAAAATTAAGCTTAGTAGGCCCTGAAAAAAAAAATAAAATAAATACCCTAGGTACATAGTCCTTGTACCTTGCTAGAATTGCACCTGTGTAGCCAGTACATGATAATTGATATAATTGTTAGATGTGATGATTGTTTAGTAATTAAATATAATTGCTGTTTAATCATAAGAATAATCATGAGAAACTGTGGTCAGGGGCCTAAGAAAGATCATGAGAAACTCATATCAATGTATACAATAGAACAATATAAGTTTAATAATTAATATGTAAGTTATATAAGGATAGAATATAAAATACGTTCAGCTCAAAAGCCATGTTGGAGTTAGATTTGGGTCTGTACCCCTGATTCCCAGAGCTCTCAATAAAAGCACTTGCATGGAATCGTATCCTGTGATTATGTGTATTCCTGAACGTTAACAACAGTTGTCACAAAGGTGGGGAACACCCAGGTGATCCCACAGGAGCCTCACAAGAGTGGGAAGCTGGAACTGATGGAAGATTCCTCACCACCTTCCAGCCTGAGGTGCAGCCTGCGAGACCTTCAGTCCAACAAGAAACCCAACTGCAGTGCCAAGAAGAGGAATCCTAAAAATTTCCTATAAAAGTGTGATTGAATCAACCCACCAACCCTGACCTGCAGTGTGCAGATGAATGTTGAGCACTCTTTTCCTCTGAACACTCTGAGGAACCTCAAGGAGGTTAAGTGAGGATGAGGAAGACATCATTTTTATTGATGCTTTTGAGGCCTTTTCCTCCATGATCCCTCAGAGGAAGTGATTTATTAAAAATATGGATATTGATCTAGTACCGATATCCAACTGTGAGGGACAAAAACTCTCTAACAGTATAAAGTTAGAAAGTGTGTGTTTATTGTGTGCAGGATCACTCCCAAATCCACACCACAGCTTCCAGGTGGTTACAGAGCCTTTTTATCCATACAAGTATTGAATACACAAAATACAAATACATTTCATCATTTTGGTAGATCCCATTCCTCGCTTCCTATGCTGATCACTCCAAAAGCCATTCAGCATGTGTGGTTTGTCCCTTGAAATGGGTCGGTGTCCCTTTCATGGGGAGGGGTCCCAAAATGAGGAAGTCAATGAAGTCTTCCTCATTCTGACCTTTCTACCTTTTCAATGCCAATATGACAAATGAACTCTTGGTAGAACTCCCATTCCTTGTCTTCAATTGGTTTCAGAACAGACGAGGCCACAATTGTCTTGTGTTCCTAAAAGCTGTTTGTCAGTCTCTATATTCTTCATTATAAACCCAGCTAACTCAACATTGTGCTGACAAGCAATCAATTATTAGTTAACTACTAACTCTTAATTCATCAAGGCCTACTCATTTATTTTAATTAACTCTAGTAAAGCTTATCTCTAACTAAAATCTTAGCTCCTCTAAAATCTCTAAATTCCTTAAAATTTGCATTTCAGAAGGACAATGCTGGCACTACGCCATTCCTACGTGGTTGTGATAAGCCACAATTTGGAATGTTTAAGAACTGGCCATTCATCATCTTGGTCCCACACAAACATGCTTGGCTGTGGGGATGTGGGTGCATGTCCTTATGTATTATTAGAGTTTTCCTACTGAAAAAGGGGAGAGGATGTGTGTGTGTTCATCTTCTATGAGGGATGTGGAAAGGGTGTGTTGTTCTGTGCATCCTGGGTCAAGGTGGGAGGTAGCCTTTACCCTGCCCAGCTAAGCAAGAAACATCTAAGCATTTAAATTTGGAAAAAAAAATACAGCAAAAATAACAGAAACCTTCTGAGTTGTTTTGGTTTTTTTTCCTAGTTTGGGAAAATTGGAATGCCAGTTCTTTCTCTGCAAGGTTTGCCATTCCAAGCAGAGTGTGGGCTCCTCATGGATTCAAGGACTGTCATTAAAGGATTGTTGCAAACTTATTTTTGAAGTGCCTCAACTGAAGGAACTGAGCTGCCACTTACTCTGCTCTCAGAAGGAACTTGCTTTTCCATGTGGAAGGAGTAGGTACATTTCTTTTCCTCACCCTCAGCTCCCAGCAGAGCAGTTTCTGGTTTGATGTCTATTTTTAGCAAGATCTGTGCAATCACAAAAACAATACAGAACTTGGAGCATTCTTCTGTACCATATCTGCATGCTGGCAATGTACACTCTTGTTCATTTGTCCTTTCAGTTCTGAATTTGCTGCTAATTGTGGAGCCTCTTTCCCAAAGCTGGAGGAGTTTTGCTAGGAAAAGGCAGCACAAAGCTTCCCAGAGCTGGGCTTAAAGCTGGAGCAATCTCTGGAAGCTTACACAGAGATGTTGGAGAGTGGTTTCGAGCGTGGACCATGATCCTGCTGTGGCTTTGGCAAAGGCAGGAGGGATCCTTGGATGGCTGGGCAAAGGAGTTCCCAAGGAATTGGTGCCACTGTGAAAGGCCCTGGTGAGGCGTCACTGCAGATGCTGAACGTCCTTTTGGGTGCAAAGACTTTTCTAGTAGAAAGTGGAGCTGTGTCGCTATAGGACATGTGAAAGCACGATGCAAGCCACCTGCTATTTGCAAGGTAAAGAAGAAAGTTTATTCTCTGACTCCGACTTTTATACAGGTCACCTCTCCAAAGACATTGGACAAACCACTAGTACATTAAGTTTCTCCACCCCCATAAAAGAATGTAAACAATATGTTGTTTATAGAAATCGTGTGGGAAAGTTCTCCAACAGAATGTAAACTCAGAAGGCTTTAGAAAATCTTAAGAATCAGGGTGACAGAGGTGGATTGATCCCTCCTGATGGGGCAAAACCCCTTTCTTCTGACATAGCAGGGCCTGGATGGGAATTAATCCCTGGCACACCCCTGCAGGAAGATGGATGCAGAGTTATGGTCAGGGTGGGGACACTCCGTGAGTTGCTGTGAGCTGGAGCTGAAGGACAGGACCTTGGGGCCAGTCCAGAGGAGATCAGATGGATGGAACACCTCTGCTATGAGGAAAGGCCAAGAGAACTAGGAGCATTCAGCTTGGAGAAGACAAGAATTTGGGGTCACCTGATTGTGTCCTTGCAGTACCCAGACAAGAAAGACGGGGCAAGACGATATACAAGAGTTGGAGTGACAGGACAAGGCAGAGCGGGTTCGAGTTGAAAGACAGCAGGTTTAGATCAAATATTGGGAGAATTATTTTCCCCGTGACGGAGATGAGGCCCTGGCACAGGGGGCCCGGAGAACGGGGCACGGAGCCGGGAAGGGATGCGGTGACCGAGGAAGGGATGCGGTGACCGAGGAAGGGATGCGGTGACCGGGGTAGGGATGCGGTGACCGGGGAAGGGATGCGGTGACCGAGGAAGGGATGCGGTGACCGGGGAAGGGATGCGGTGACCGGGGTAGGGATGCGGTGACCGGGGAAGGGATGCGGTGACCGAGGAAGGGATGCGGTGACCGGGGAAGGGGACGCAGTGTCCGGGGAGGGGACACGGTGACCGGTCCCGCCCCGCTGCCGGCAGCTCCAGCACGGCAGAGCCGCCACTGCGCCGGTGCCGCTGCCGCGGGCTCCGCGCCGGCGCGGGGGATGCGCGGGGGATGCGCGGGGGATGCGCGGGGGATGCGCGGGGGATGCGCGGGGGATGCAGCGCCCAGGTAGGGCGGGGAACAAGGAACGGGCACCGGAGCGGGGAAAAGTTGGGGAGGGAGGGGGATCATGCTGCCTGGAACAACAACAACAACAAAATTATTCTTTTTTAATATATATATACATATATATGTATGTGTATGTGTTTATTGTGGTTATCGTTTCTCAGCCCACGCCGCGGTTTCCACACCACCCCCCTTCTGCAGGAAACGGGTAGCCGTGGTGATGGAGTTCTCTTAAGCCAAGCAGCGCCAGCATCCCTTGGAAAGTTTTCCCGCCCCAAAGGTACGGGCAGCTCAGTTGGAGGGCCGGAGGTGAGGAATACTCTTGTTAGCAGCTCCTTATTCAATTGTCGGGAATGGCTGGAGTGGGGGTGAGTCGAGCCACGCTGTTCCAGGCAGTGACTAATGAGGACTAATCCAGATTGTTTTCCATGTCTCCAGCAGAAAGAAAGTGTGGCTTGTGCGGCTGATGGAGCCAGCCTTTTTGGAATCTGAATAAGAGCTTTCACTTAATGCACATCGCTGTACTGCCTTGAGCAGCCTGCTGAAACCAAATAGGCAAGTTTTACATTTATGTACATGTGGAAATACAGATATATTTATGTTTCTACATATATATGTTCATTGATACGTATGCTTATATTCAGAGATGTCTTATCCCACTTTCCAGTACTTGAAGGGATTTTACAGAAAAGAAGAAGAGCAACAATTTACACAGACAGAATAAAGGGAAACATTTTTAAGCTAAAAGGGCAGAGATTTAGATTAGTTATTAAGAAGAAATTCTTTACTGTGAAGGTGGTGAGGCCCTGGCACAGCATGTCCAGAGAAGCTGTGGCTGCCCCATCCCTGGAAGTGCTCAAGGCCAGTTTGGATAGGGCTTGGAGAGATCTGGTCTAGTGGAAGGTGTCCTGCCCATGGCAGGAGTTGGAACGAGATGGTCTTTAAGGTCCCTGCCAATCCAAACTGTTCTAGGATGCTGTAATTTCTCATCTTTAGAAAAATTTAAAATCAGGATTATCAATTTATACTTGGTGGTGAAGGCTGGCTGATGATAGTGGATTTAACTTTATTGAACAATCTGTCTGTGTTTTGTGTGCTGAATGTATACTTTCTACATCTCTAATAGTAGATGATTCTGTTTCTTCTGCGTATCTAATAGTCTGTCCCATTCTTTGGATCAGAAAAATACCTTCACTGTTCTAAATTTGTAACATCAGAAGAATCACTGATGAAACAGGTGTTTTATTTTCTAGGGAGGGCTGCCAGAAGAGCTGAGAATGGACTTACCATGAAAGACACAACGTTCTGGGTGATGATGAGCTGCAGATGAACGCAGTGTTTGCCTCAGAGGATGGATGCCTCTGAGAATAACATTTGTGGCACAGGGGGAGGGCATTCCAATTATCCCAGAAAGGCCACGGAGCAGCTGGGCCACAGCTGTAGGCCACAGAAGGAGGTGGGCATGAATTCCTCCTGCAGTCCTCCTGGAAACTCTGCTGGGCCCGCAGGGAAGAAGGAGCTTCCTGCAGACAAAGAAACCTGTGACACCTACTGCCAGAAACAAGGTGAGAGCCCGGCTGGGCAGTTTGCCCCCTCCAGCAGCAGCTTCCAGCTGCAGAGAGAAGATGAAGATTTAGATCACCGTTCCTCTGAGCACCCGCGGGCGATGGCGAAACTCCGCGAGGGCGACGGCAGCGCCGCTCTGGGAGATGAGTTTGGCGAGGGCGCGGAGCCCGTCCCCGAGGAAGCTCTGCCCTGTCGAGGCAAGGAGTGTGGCTCCTCTGTCTCCTCTGTCCGTGGTGTGAGCCAGCTGCAGGAGCAAGGACGAGCTGGCCCGCCGGAGAGCTCCTACCGCTGCCCCGTCTGCAGCAAAGCCTTCTCCCGCGCCGCCAACCTGCGCATGCACAAGCTCATCCATTCCGGCCAGAGGCCGCACAAGTGCCCCGAGTGTGACAAGGGCTTCATCCGCACGGCCGACGTCTGGAGGCACCTGCGCAACGTGCACAAGATCGAGCGCTCCATGGTCATCCTGGCCAGCGGCACGGCCAGGAACCCCTGGGCTGTGGTGCACCACAGCCAGCAGCACAGCGCCGAGTGCCCGGATCAGGCTTGTCCTGCCAACCCAAAGTCTCAGGAGGACGACCTCAAACCTTATGGCTGCCCGACGTGCGGTAAAGGCTTCGATAAGCCCAACCTGCTGTCCAAGCACAAGGTGATCCACCGGGAGGACAAGCCCTACAAGTGTCAGGAGTGTGGCATGGCGTTCGTGCAGCTGCTCAGGCTCAAGAGGCACCAGCAGACTCACTCTGGGGCACGGCCCTTCTACTGCGAGGAGTGCGGAGGGACCTTCACGCGGCTGGCATCGCTGCAGCGCCATCACCGCATCCACACCGGAGAGAAGCCCTACTCCTGTAGCTTCTGTGGGCATTCCTTCACCGAGTCGGGGACCCTGCGGAGGCACGAGCGCACGCACAAGTTGGACAAACCTTAATCTGGGGGCTCTGTGGTTGCTTTGTACCTGAATGAGGTCTGCTCAGTCGGGCTGGCAAAGCACCCCGCGGTGTGTGCTCTGCCCAGCAGTGGCTGATGTAGCAATGCTGCATCACAGGGACCTCTGGAACTTGTGCTGAGAAGGATTGCACTGCCTGGCTTTAAACTGCTTTGTATGAGAAAATAACCTAATTACCCGTGAGTAATGAAATGGGAGACTTGAGGAGACTGAAACCACTGGCTGTGCTTTTGCTGCCTCTGTTTGCTGGACTGGCAATGCAGCCACTCGAGCTTTGTGCAGGATCTGCAAGCACAGGCTGTGAGAATTCACTGCATAAACTGGCCCTGCCCTGATGAGTCTGATGGCTCTTTGACATGGGTTTGGAGATCTGTTAACTTGCTAAGTGACAACAGTCCAGAGCTGTCCCTCTATCCCTTCTTTCCTGGTATTTTGCTGAGTTTTTCTTTCTGTTGCATTCCTTTTTATTTGTAAGGGGAAGTGTTATGTTGGTTATCAAAAAAAACCAACTTCCCTTTCCAAGGCGTTTCTTTATTAACCCCACCGTTTCCCGGTTTTTTTTCGGATTTTTTTTTTTTGGGGAGTACCAATACTTTATGCACTTTTGAGTGATGGGTTGAATGTCTATTAATAATGGGGAAAGCTTTATTTTGGCTCTAGTGGTGCATGCTCTTGGGGTAACATTTGTGTCTGTGATGGAACCATGCACACTATATCTAACCAGTTGAGTATTGTGGAAGGAAATGTTGAGGACACAAAATTCAAAGAGTAAAAGACCAAGTTGAAGCCACCTTTGCTACTCATTGCAGAGGAACCTTCTTCATTTAAATGTTTTCACACAGAGGGAAACTCCCCATAACAAAATCATGCTCTGTGCTGTGTCCAAGTACTGCCCAAAGTGTCTGTTAGACTCTTCACTTTGATTTAGATTCAAATGGCTAGTGAAGAAAAATATGCTTAGGAATTAGCCTGGGAGACTTAGGCAGGTGTTGACAAATCCTCCAAGGCTGTAACTTCCAAGAGTCATGTAATGCCTCAGCACCAGCAGTGGGGCTTTAACTCTGAAATTTAATAATGACTTAAAATCTGCTGTTAACCCCTGTGGTAGAAGAGTCCAGCTTGTCCTGAAGTTACAGCCTGAATTTCTTTTCCAGGTCAGAATGTTTTACTTCGTTGCTTCCTTTCTCCTTACCAGCTGCCATAATTCCATTAATTTCTTTCTAGGGCTTTCTGCCTTTTCAGTGGGAAGTTGTGCAGGAGAATGAAGGTAAAGCTCCAGGGCTCCAGGGTAATGTACCTTTGCATTTATTACCAGTTTATTTAATATAAAGTACTGATTGTGCCGTTTGTTTCCATATTTCATAGAACACAGAGGGACGTTGGCAGCTCAGCACCTCTCAGCTGTGCAGCAGCTGAGCAGGTGTCACACAGTGGCTCCTGTTGTGCTTGATGTCAGGTTCTTGGCTCAGATCAGGATTTACCACTGTGCACAGCAAAACTCTAGCTTGATTATGAATGGGAGACTAATTGGTGTCACTAATGGATCGTTTCCACTTAATTCCTCGGAGAAATCTCCAGGTGAGGGAACCGATGTGCATCCTGCCCCCGAGGGACGTGTTCTGTGGCCTGTGTGTTTGTCATTCTGGGATGGCTGGCCCCTGAGTGAGAATTCTCCAAACTCCCCTCTGCAGGAAGCTTGAGGTTTGCAAAGGGCCTTTGATGGGGCCCCTTAGCAACAGCTCAGTCTTTTCTGAAGGCTGTGCAGCCTCTGGGTAAGATCTTTGCATGAAAAGAATCCCGGCTGGAGGTGGGTGAGTGATCTGCAGAGGGAGGTCACCAGTGATGCTCTGTGGGGACCATGCTGCTCAGCACCATCTGAGGTGACCTGGAGAGAGGGCAGACAGCAAAGTGACAAAGCTGCTCCAGAGGCCATCATGCATTAAATGTCCACACTCATTTTCTGATCCCATTTTGAAGTTATCAGTTACGATCTCCCCTGTTCATCATCCTGCTTTTCCTTTGGGTATGGGATGCTCCTGCTGTAGGGGGGTTTAATATCCATTTAAACTGCACCACTTATGCACATCTTTATGTTGTGTGACAGTTCTGCTTAGGCAGTTATGATAATTGGGAACATCCAGTTATTCTGCTTTTTAGTGCTAGCAGGCAGTGGAATTTGTACCTCTGGCATAATGGTGGAAGTATTTTGAGCAAAGGTCTGTTATATGGGGAGAGTAAATGGTTGGTGAAATGAAAAGTACCAGGCTTAACTAAAAAGTTATTAAAAAGACACTTGCTTGGAAGGTTGACTTGCATATAAAGTGCTTGGATGTGTGAAAGGAGTAATTAAAATGTATGATGGCTTCTGGGAAATGTGTGTAGAACTCTCGTCACAGGAACTTCCACTAACTCCTGTGCAAAGGACAGGAAACCCGGTGGAGCTTAATTTAACCCAGAAACCAGCACTTCTGCACTTTACATTATTCACATAAAGGTTTGGAAATCTCTCCCAGGCCCTGACCCTGTATCAGTCAGGGTGGGTGATGGCCTAAAACAGTCACAGCCAGTCATGACACACGTAGCTGACATGGGCAAACAGACCTGCTCTGCAGCATTAGGGGAGTTTGAAGGGTCTGCTTTCAGCAGAAGTAAATTTATTTGTCCAGAGTGGCTGGAATATCAGTTAGTTCATTTAGAGCTGTGGAGGCCAAGGAAGACACAATTCCCACTGTGTTCACAGAGGCCTCATTGCCCAGGACATCACAGGAAGCCCTTGGACATGAGCTGGAGGACACAGGGAAAACTAAGAAGGCAGAACAGCTCCAGCTCTGAAGATTCCAGGCCCTCACTGACCTGGAATCACCAGACAATCCTTGGCAACTATGGTACTGTTGTCTTACTTTGTTAACAAAGGTGTTGATGGTAAATTTGTTAACTTTTTCTACCAGAGGTGTTGTTGGTAAATATGTCCCTGACTGAGGAGTGTGGATACAGCACCTTGAAGAAAGGAAAAGCTGCTGCTGTACAATCTGTGCCCCCCTGCACTCCATCCTCCTCCTCTTACTCTGTTTTCTCCTGGCAAGGAGAAGTCTGAAGCAGGAGTCTCCCATGTAAAGAGGGAGCACCAGGCAATCCATCATTTGTCAAACCCCAGCAAAGGGCACTGGTATCTCTGGAGGAGGCAGTTTCTATTTCAAGTGAGGCTTCCTCTGCCTTTGACCTTGTGGAGTTTCTGTTGGAACAAGGAGCTCCCACTGCACTTTTCCTCCTGAAACCGAGCAGGGGCTGAGCTCTCACCAACAGAAAAGCAGATAAAGAGGTTTTTTGTTTTTTTTTTTTTTTTTTTCTATGATAACAATCTGGAAATAGAAAGGAGAATGATGTCTTTTGGGTGATTTCAGCTGTCTGATGTTTTGAGCAGTAAAATTGCTGTGGGCCTGTGCAAGGTTAGAGCCATCTTCATAGAGCAGGCCCAGAATGGGAGCAAGCCCTTGAACCAGCTAATAGAATTCTCTGCCCCAGAGTGCAGCCCACTTGTAAATTCCTTGTAGGATGAGCCCCTGCTCTGTGGGGATGTTGTTTTCCAGAGCAGAGTGTGCTCAATGTGCTCCTGAAGTTCATGTAATGGCTTTCTTGTTTATCTGCTTGAAGCAATCATGAGAGCAATAAATTCTTTTTCTCATTAAGAGATCTATTGGAACTGCTGCTCCAGTGCTTTCCACCTGAGAGCAGGAGCAGTGATTTGTTCTGTTTCTCTTCAAGCTTCCAGCACACATCCTGTTGGCTGCAAGGGATTCTTAGGGAATGGCTCTGTGACTTCTGTGCTTTCTGGCCTTGGATCTGGCCTTGGATGTTTCCAGGGATGAGGCATCCTCTCTGGACAACTTGAGCCAGCATTTCACCACCCTCATCATAAAAAACATCTTCCTTAGAGCTAATATATGGGAAAAGCAGGGCACTGACACCACACTGCCTCAGCTACTGGCACCAAATCCAGAGGACTGGGGTTGTTTTTCACCTGGTGCAGTCTTTTAGACTGCCCATGGCATTCATAACTAGATAGAGAGTATTTATTTCCAATTTAGTCAATTGAGATGTAACAGCAGCTCTAAAATAGCTACAGCACAGGGGAGTTCATGTAAACACAAATAATATCTCCAGGTTTACCTATTTATTTTCCTTCTCTGTTTGCAGACTGACACAGCATCCTGCTTGTAATGATCACATAGCTACATCATAGCCAGTGCAATAAACCAGAAAAGGAAGCTCTGAGCCCTTCATGGGAATCACTTGAGCACGGAAATCTTGCTGGCAAAATGTTGTTGGTCACCAAGTGAGGCTGGATAAACCAGGTACTGAGCACTTCAGCCACCCCCGACCTAGGGTGAGCTCCAGCACATGTCTGGGAAGCAGCTTTAGATGCAGTAATGTGTAGGAATCAATGCTGTGATACCCACAGGAAGCCAGAGATGTGCAAATCCATTTGCCTCCAAAGCTGGAGCCATCTGGGCCAGGAGGTCACTGCTGAGTGACAGCAGACGTGAGCACCCGTGAGGCTGCTCCAGCAGGGCACTGCTGCTCTCCAGGGGGCTGCAATCATTATTTATTGCATGCATGTGATAAAAAATAATGGAGCCCTGTTCACAGTAGCCTGGAACCCTCCTCTCAATAGCTTCATAACCTCCTGTTGCACTAGAGCCAGCCACACCACACCAAAAAGTGTTTGTGTCTTGGCAGCATCGCTGCAAAGCAGAGTGGGGTGGGAAATAATAGAATAATAGGGGAGATTTAGATGGGATATTGGGGGATATGTCTTCACCCAAAGGCTTGTCAAGTGCTGGAACTCAAAACATCTCTCAGACATTTTTAGAGGTTCCAGGCCTTGGTCAGAAGCATTTCAGACCCTGGCAGGCAGGTGCAAACAGCTGTGATTTTGAGTTTGAGCTATGGAATGAGTTACCAACTTTGGAGGTGGAACAAGCAGTCACAAAGGGTTAGATAGGAAAGTAAAAGTAGTTACAAAACAGAGGGGAAATTTTTTTAGTATTGCACAAGGGGGGTTTAGCACCTGTACAGGGGGGTTTTTACTTTGTACATGGGGGTCAGAAGTTCTAAGGTGGAGGAAAGTGGGCTGATCCTGTTCTTCCTCCTTCTTCTTCCTTGCCTCCATGTTCTTGGTGATGTTGGCACTCACAGATTGGTTTAGAGTAGAAAAGCACTATTTAATATAGGTAATAGGCATTGGGGGAAAACTGTAACCATGTCACACTTAATGTACCATATAAAAGATAGAAAATCATTTAATATAGGTAATAGGCATTGGGGGAAAACTGTGAACATGTAACATGTAATGTACCATATAAAAGACAGCAGCAGCCCTGGGCGGGGAGAGAAGAAGCAGTCGGGGTCAGAGAGGATGTCAGGGTGTGTGTGTGCCTCTGCCTGAGCTCTGAGCAAACCACAGCAGCCCCAGAAGAAAATCTTTTAGATAACTTGCAATAAACTGCCTGAGACCAAACAACAGAGACTGCTGAGCCT